AGGCCTTCCCAGCACTCTTCCCTTAGTCAGGTCAGCAGGGAAGCATCACCTGCTGGTGGCCAAGACTCCTGCTCCTCACCCGGGCCAGGGTACTGGCCCCAGAGCTGGGGGTCGTGGGACCCACCACTCACTGTGTCTGTGACCTTGGGCAAACTTTGGGCCTCTCAGCCTGTTTCCATGGGTGACTGGGAACCCCACGCAGGTCAGCCCTGGTCACAGCAGGGGCTCAGGAGGTGCTGGTGTCCTTGTCACCTGCTCAATGGTGGTCGCAGGCTGCTGCAGCCCAGGAACTTGGGCTTGGCGGGCTCATTCAGCCTGGTGTCCCGCCAGCCTGGTTGTTGTGGGTGGGCTTCTGTTTTCAGGCCAAGGGGCTGACTAGCCCAGTCACCCTGTCAGCCCAGGGGGACCTCAGCTGGAATCTCTGGGACTTCATTCCCTCTTCCTGTCCTTTCTGTCCTGCCCATGTCCCTCCCCAGGCCTTAGCCTTGGTTTCCAGGGAGAACCTGTGTGTGCTCTGGGCCCGTTTGTACCCGCCCGTTGCCCCAGACTGAGCAGCCAGCCCCGGGTGTGTATCCAGGGGAGCAGGGGCGCTGACCTGGGCCTGGACCAGCCAAGCAGGCCTTAGACCCTTGGTTACCAGGTGACATCTGCTCTGTCAGGGGCATGGCCTCTGGGGGTGAAGGGGCTGACTCTCAGAATGTCAAGGTGTGGGTGCTTTTCTCCAGGATCCCCCACCCCACTGGGGTGCCTGGGGCCCCAGCCTGGATACCACACCCCTTCCATGTGCACACATATACACGCACACACACATATACACATGCACCCACACAGCTCACCTCCCTGGTGGCTCCCTCAGCTGGCCGGCTGGGCCCCTTGGGCAGGTCTCCAGGCCTGAGAAGGGTGGGTGGGGGTGTTGGGCCTGCAGTGGGGCCTCCTGCCCTCCGTTGTCCTCACAGCAGCCTGGGTCAGTCCCAGATACTACTGCTCCTGGGGATGCTCTGGCCTGTCCTCAAACCCAGAAAACTCCCCACTGGTGGCCTGCCCACCCTGCCAGGCCAGCCCTACCTGCCCAGGTGCACCTAGGCCACACCCCCTGCCATGCCCTGCCCAGTCTGGGACCAGTTGTCTCTCCAATCCACAGTCCAGTGGGGGGTACAAGTTGGCTCTAGAGACTCCGATATCTAGGTGTGGGTTTTGTCTGGACCACTGACCAGGTATGGCTTTGGGTGGCTGTCCACTCTAGAAGGTGAAGTGGGGAAATATAGTGCCTACCACACCCGGTGCATGGCTGTCCATCCCATTGTTCACACTTCTGTTTCCCTTCCTCCCTGACTGTCCTGCATGGGGAGCTTCAGGGTGTCTTGGGACACACCCCTCCCGCTGGTTAAAGGACTGACGACATGTGGGCAGGATGAGCTCCAGTTACCAGGGAGGAGGCTGAGGCTGCGGGCTGCAAGCCCAGCCAGCAGGTAGGTGCTGTGGCTGCACAGCCCTGAGCCTCAGTCTCCCCATCTGTTAAGTGGGCACAAGGATTGTTAGGGTCCGGGATGGTGTAGGGGTTGAAGGAGGTTAACAAACGAAACACTGAGTACAGGACGTGGGTGTCTGGTGCACCATCCATGAGCCTGCAGCACCTGCTCGAGGGCTCGTGTTTCTGGGTTTTTCTCCGAGACCCGTTTTTCTTGATTTCACCCCTTTTCCCTCTCCCTCCTCTCCTTCCAGCTGCCACATTCCTCCCGGTGCCTCTCCACTCGATGCTCTATCCTTCCCTACACTGGGCTGTCCGTCCCTCTCCAGTTCCAGGCCTGGTGTGGGCAGCCTGGTGTACAGTGAGCTGTCAGCCCTGAAGGCCTCCCTTCCTGTCCTCACTGAGGATGGGCTCACAGCTCTGCCCAGCCCACCCTGGGGGCTCCTGAGGGGCTTACACAAAAGATACTGAGGCTGTGTAAGACTGCTGTCCACTGTCCTCAAACACGTGTGGCACCAGCCATTTCTGCCTCTGCCCTGGGCTTTCTGGGGACCTGCTCATCCTCATCAAAATGTCCCATTTGCCCACTTTCTCAGGGCTCAGCGCCTTCAATCTCCTCACAATCTTACTAGAACCTGAGTACCCACTTCCCACCCAAGCCCCGTGTCCCCACCCAAGATGGGGTGTCCTGTTTCCCGCTGTGATCCTCGCTGCCTCAGTGGGCCCCTTCCCATCACCTTCTGGCCTTTGCTGGAAACATTCTTCTCCCAAATGCATGGTTCCCTCTCCTGGGCAGTCCCCACCTGGTTTCCCACCGGCGCCTCCCCTGGCTGGTCCTGTGCCTGTGCCCCAGCTCAGCACAGTAACTACAAAGCAAGACAGTAAGACATGCTTGTGGAACGGAAGTTAACGCCCAGCCAGCTCCCCAGTGAGCCACAGGAGACACAAGATGACAGTGCATGAAACCAGCTCCTGGGGTCTGTCCACTGTGAGAACCACAGCCCCTGTATCTGCCTCACAAGGTCCCCTCCCACCTGAGGCACACTAAACCAAACCTATGCTGTGGACTGAAAGTTATCCATGTTGTTAAGTAGTCTTGAGTTATGCACTTACTTTTAATACAAAAACAGCTTCTTCCAGTAGCTGGTACTACATATTGAGGGCCAATGACTCATTCGTTCAATTCTCAAATATATACAACCACTTGGACCCTGGTGAGAACCATTCACAACTCTCCCAACACGCACTCCGAGTCCTCCCTCCATCCATGGATGGTGCTAGAGGCCAAACAAAAGTCGGCCTGAGACATGCACATCTCCTCTGGCTTCCAGGGCTAGAGCCACAGAAAAGCTCCTCCCACTGATGGACCAGAGGAGGGTCTTCACATCAAGAGGGTGTCTGCATTTCCACCTGACTCTGCTGAGCTGCAGGTGCGGCTGCTGACTCCAGGGTCACCACACCTGGCATGTCTGGATCACCTCCTTCAAGGCCTTCAGCCCCTCCATGCTTCTGTCCTTCATGGCCAAGGCAAGGAGCACGGCTCTGTTTCCGGCTTCTTGAGATACAAACGTCACAAGGTTCTTCGCGAAGACATGGATGAGAGGCTGGTAAAGGGAAGGGGAGACAACCACTTTAAATCTGTTTTTTAAGAATATATTTTTTTATTGATTTCAGAGAGGGAGGGAGAGAGAGAGAGATAGAAATATCGATGACATTGATCGGCTGCCTCCTGCATGTCCCCTACTGGGGATAGAGCCCCAAACCTGGGAATTGAACCGGTGACCTCTTGGTGCACGGGACAACACTCAATCATGGAGCCACATCAGCCAGCTAAATCTGCTGGGTTTTTTTTAACGCCTTCATTAAGTATCCCCCAGGAACCCAGACTGGCTTCCCACACCACCATTAAATCCCCACTCAAGAAGTTCGATGTGACACTGACTCAGAGTTCAGTGAGACTCAGAACACTCCAGGCATAAACACACAGCTAAGGAGGCTCCATTAAATTTATCTTCTTAGTGCTTCCTGACTCCTGTTTGTCCCGGCTATCTCTCTAATCTGGGAGGACTCCCATCAATTCTCAACGAGGATCTTTCCAGAACGGAGCACGGACAGCTGCTGTAATGTATCATGACAGGGTCAAAATGGTGGTGGTGGTGGGGGACCACATTGCAAACTCAACACCTCCCCTTGTCTGCTGGATAAAATGCTGATGGGTTGGGAAAAGCACCCACCTGGGCAGGCAGATGCCTCACACCCACAAAGGCCCAGGAAAACGCCATTGGGGGGGGGGGCTGGTACATTTCTGTATTGACAAGTTACAGCCACATAAGCGGCTTTTCCTCCACCACAGAGATTCCTTCCCAACCACATTACCTCGTCTTGCCCGAGGAGAACTTTAGTAGTGAGCATGGGCTTGCTGATGTCACTGGCCACGTTGCTGGGTTCCAGGGAGACCAGGGTACCCATCTTCCCGAACTGGGTCACCACCACCAGGATGTGGCTGCTGAAGGCCGTGCAGACCACCTGGGTGGGGACCCCGCACACCACTTCCGTCTTCTGTTTGGACGTCACCAAGGCCTTGCCTTCCATGCCCGGGTCCCTTAGACGGCACCTTCCGTTCATATAAGACGGGAAGGAACGCAGGGAGGGAGCAAGGGAGCAAGTCAATCGGTGCCAGAGACGCCCTGGGGCCCCGAACAGGGGTCACTCGGCATTAACACGGGCCCACGCGGAGCCCTGCCCACGAGGGCTCCGCCGGGGCCTTCCCGGTGCCGCCGCGCCGGCCAAACAGGGTGACGTCACACGGCGCGCCCGCTTCCACAGCCCGGGGAGCGGCCCCTCCAC